AGGCCTGGTGTTGAGGGTCAAGCGCAATAATATACTGTGGCCTCGGCCTGGAGCAGGATAAAAACGCAATGGTTTTTAGGCAGTAAGAGTCTGACTCTCTGTCTCATTCTGGAAGGGGGGAGAGAGAGTGTCAGGCTACTTTAGCGCGAGTGTCGAGGTGTCGATTGAGATTGTCATGATTCCCCACCACCCCTACCCCTTATCAAATTGAATATTGAGAAAAGTAATTAAGTATTCATGCGTGCAAGGCACAGAAAGTTTTAAAAAGGGGCAATACTTTCATTAAAAGTAAAAACCAAAGTTTATCATCATATAATCATTTCAGTCAAATTTATCCCAACTAATAGGGATAAATTTGACTTTTACTGGGATCCAACAGATGCGATGTTTATGTTTCAGTCAGTTACATTGCCTGGCACTCTTTCTCACCTCCCTCTTGGCCAAAGAAGTAATTAGATAATTTTACCAGCTCAAAATTAAAGAAATAGGTACTTTACATACCTATATTGAACACATCGTCGTCCCTAATACATTGCTCGACGATAATGCTGCCAAAATCTACCCCCGAAAGAGTTTTAAAGATAAGAAATTTACATATCAAGAATAGAGATCGTATCTGCAAGCTCCCTAACCGATCGGTTCGATGTGGTTGTGTAAAAACTGTTATAAAACTCAACGAGGCCTTAACTCTTGAACTTGTGGAGTAATAAAGTTGAACCAACACAGTTTGATGCCAAGTATTACTTATATATTATGTTCTATGAAAGTCTTAAATCGAAAGATTGAGTTTTAGAAAAATGAGGTCTCTATATTTTTGCATATTTCTTGCAGTAAATTTAGATAGGTACTATTACTATAAAGTGTTCTGTAAAAATACTGTTATTTACTTAGAGGATTCAAACGGATAAAAATCTCTTTTGTGTAGTTTTGACTTGTACTTTGACCAATGTCTTAAGTAATATTAAATTAATATTAGTCAGTAAACGAAGACTTAAATATTTGATAAGATTTTTATGGCGTACCAACTTACTCAAAAAACTATAATGATTTTGTTGGAAAATTATCTAATTTAGGTTCCTCTAGAAAATTATTCTAAGAGATAATGCTTAAGGCTTAATGCTACTATTACAAATAAAATTATAATTATATTATAATTAGGTTTTAGTGGTAATTTTATTTAGCACAAACGCAAAAACATTACCCTCCTTCTTTGGCAGTCGGGTAAAAACGATGTTAACATTATTTTCTTGTAACAACGCCATCTCTGATAAAATGTAGGAACTACGATTTGTTATGCTTCAGTTATGTTACGTACAGTAGGCTAGGATTATCACAATTGCTTTTCGCACCGTTATCAAACAAGGACGGAGTTTATATAGTTGGTTCTGAAAGTCATGTAAAGATGGCAGCACGTGATATGATTCTTTCAGATCTGCCGGTTTGCACAGCGATAGTAAGCAATCGGCGTCGCCGACACGTACGTCGATTTTGGGGATGGCAGAGGGATGATTAGATTTCCAATTAATAAAATTGTCGCTCATATGTCGTAACACAATATAAGCTTTAGTTCAGGCTGTTTTTTTTTTGCCGGATTACCTGATGGTAATCAGCGCCGCCCATGGGTAATTATGGAGGAGTTACGAGTGCGTTGCCAAAGTTTTGTGGATTAATTATTTCGAGATTTTGGGATTAAGTCACTCACATGACGAAACACAACGCTGTGGTTGCTTCACGACGGTATTCTGTGAAGCCATTTTCTTTGCAGCCAACTCGGCTTCACTAGAGTTTAACCTATTCACGCCTATAGTATGATCTTTCCATTTTTAAGTTGCTCAGCTCCAAACTGTCATAACAGGGCAACCATCAAAGTTATGAATGGAGTCTTAAAGCGGTGCATTAAATAGGTAAATAAAAAAACATTTCTGAACAAATTACTTTAATCCTTATACTTAAAATAAATTAATACCTCAATAAAAGTACATACAGATTAACTGTAACTATAATAGGAATGCTTAATACTGAAGTGTTGAAAAATCTAAACTGATAAGTACTTCCGCCATTCGCTTTAAAACTTCCGATAGATTTTATCGAAAGATAATCAGATCTTGTTAAATTACTGATTGTAAGTTTTTGTTGAACAATCACCGATGTAGAACGCAGTAAACAATGGAAAACATCCAATGTAGTCGGGAAAATTCTAGAACGAAGATATTTACATATTCTGAAATTGAAAGTATTCTATCCCATGAAAAGAAAAGACTGATTAAGACAACGCATTAGGAAAAAAAATTAGAACATTTTTTTGTGTAACCAAACAAAAAAACTTGTCTTAAGCCAATTTGAGGTGTGTGAGAACACGGTACATCGTTTATTTCACACTGCTTTTACGTATACATATTTTTCACGAAGTAGTGACGTCATTTGATAGGTATTTCTCACCAATAGGTACTCAATCTTTTTGAGTTTCTAATTCCATAACTAAAAACAAAATATATTTACCAGTCTGGCATTCTTATGGCTGATTTTTCAATGGTAAGATAAAAGTTTTCTGGGGAATAATTATGATGCTGTCGTGTCAGAATGTTTGTATAAGACAGTGACAGCAACAATTTTATTCCTCAGATTACATTTATCTGACTATTGAAAAACCAGCCTTTAATCATTTAATCATCACGTTTATAAATTTATCGTATGAAGTGAGCAGAAATATCATTGTTTTATTGTATTTTTAATAAAATCTCCTGAATAATGCAAGTGCCGCTGCAGACGTCATGATAACAGTTGAGGTATCAAGATGATTTCCCCTATTAACTCTACAAGTGTCTTCTGTGTTGTTGAAAGTGAAGAATGGCGTATCTTGGAGACTGTAATTAGCTATAGCCTGATCCAGTTTAACTGCGTCCGTGTCCTTCAAATGTGGAGTACGGGTAAGCTTCCATAATTCATCTGGAAATACATAAAATATATGTTTAGCAACTTTTGAGCAAAGTACAATTTGCAGTTATTTAATGAGCAGATTCTAAGTGCGGGGACAGCGACCAATGGTAGCTCGTTGCCCAACCAGATCCAGATCCGAGCTTACGGCGCGTATCGCTTCAAAGAGCCAACAGTCCACCACAGACAGGGCACTGTAAGGTGCCGCGACCTCGGCCTAGAGCAGTAGAAGGAACATGGGGATTTTAGTCTTTTAGTCAGTAAGAGTCGGACAATCGGATAATCCCTCCTAAAAAAAGGAGGCTGACACTCCGAAAAATCTTATAAATCAACAAATCATTTTCTTCAACCTTGTGAAGAATATTAGTAACATAATATCAAAATATTTTTATTCGGTCGTTTGTGAGCAGTGACATCGTTACATTCTTTAAAATTTTAATTTGTATTTCAATCGGAGTCGGAATCGTTTACTTTTGATTGAAGATAATGACATCGTTATTTTGTGATTTTTTAATTGATATTAAGAAACATCTTGTCAGGTCAATGTTAACGAAAGATCTTCAATAAAAACTATACAATTATTATTATAGTATCAACTGTCTCAGAGTTAATTGTTATTTTCTTATCTGTATACTCGTAACTAATATGCATAATACAATTATTATTTTTTTAAGTAAAAAATGTAGGAATGCTAAGATTCTTTCCATGCTTCCTGTTTTCACATACCTTCCTTCCTACTAATAAATACATAACTACTGAATACTGTGTACAATACAAAAATTACTAGACAATATTTACTCTAATAATTCAGGTCAGGGGCAGGGGCCATAGTATTTCCATAGTTATCATATCCACTAGTCCATAGCGACCCATACCTATAACCCTATCAATATTTACCACATTTCACAGTTAAATAGTCCTGCATCAACCGGGGATTGTCCTTGGATGCACTTATATAGTGCATACAGGGATAATTAACGGGCCTCTGCGAGTTGGCTTCGGCTCCTCGTACGCCTTCCAAAGGTCTAAGACCCTGTGGTCCCGTGAAAGGAAAGAACAAACAAATAAAATACTAAAATAAAAAAAAAACTTGTTTTTGTTGTTACACAAAAAATACGAATTCGTTAATATCTTAACTTTTATCACAGTCAACATAATTCCGAACTTAAAAATAAGATACTAACTACGAATTCTAAGAAAAAAATACATTTAATAATTTTATTTTGTCTATCTATTAGATCACTGATTATTGTGAATTGATGTTTAGAAAAATATAATTATAATTATACTTATTATAATTAAGTAGTACATTGTTATCACAAAGTATATTCGAAACTAGGTAATCTATATATCTAAATATAAACTTATTTATAAACTAGCTTCCGCCAGCGGCTTCGCCCGCGTGCTGTGTTGATAAAAAGCAGCCTATAGCAATAGAATAAAATCTAATTATAAACATTATGGGGTGCGTGCCAGAAGACCTCCCCGTGGTGCACCCTGGGTGCGGGCGACAGTCTCCCTAACGGGATGGTGACAGGGTTGGTTTGACTGTCGCCCGCAGCGAACTTCTGGCCGGGCGGAGAACCCGGTCGGGTTCTAGAGGCGACCGGCTCTATGCTGGCATAGAGTCTACGCCTCCGTGGGGGCGTCCCTCCGCACGACTCTCTGGACCTAGCAGAGAGCGGGGCGGAGAAACAAGGGCGGCGCTCGTTGTGCACTCACCCTGCCAATGAGTAGCATCGGGGCACTAGCTGCGCCCGACTGCACCCGTCGATATCGTAATCCGGGAAGAGATCATGGTCATGTTTTATGACTCGGACCGGGACGAGGGTCTTGGCTTAACCGCCCGGACCGCGAGGAAGATAACCTCTATAAAAAATTCCTCCAATACTAAGTTCTGGTGCGCGGCGAGGGTATGTATGGCTGAGGAGTAGGATCAGTCGTGAGCGCACCCCCAGCTAGGGGACCGGTGGACCCCCTAGTTGGGAGACAAATGCACACTTACCCAGGGACAGGGGGCTCTCCCTGGGCGGACCTTTTATTTCCCCCATACTCGTGGGAATCACATGGAGATACCTAAAAACAAAAACAAAAAAAATAAAAATCCACCTAACGGTGAGGAGGACGCAAGCGAGGTCAGCTCGCTTGCGAATATAACCGAGGCGCTAGAGGCATCGTGTGCACGTGCCTCAAGTAGGAAGGAGTCGGACTCTGAGTCCGATTCAACATCGCAGTCTGGCACAAACATAGCGCTGCGCCAGAAGAAAACGCGGGGGACGTTCAAGCGTCCCAGGTTGGCGGATGGGCGAGAGCCCTCCTCTAACGAGCAGGAGGCCCCGGCCCCCAAGATCCCCACGGCTGCGCGCGGTAGGGGCAAAGGGAAAGGCCTCCCGAGGGCGGCAGGCAGCCGAGGCGAGCCGACTGAGCGGCTAGCGGCGGAAGGGAGTGCCCTAGGCAAGGTCGCCCCCTTGGACTCCTCTGAGATGGAGTTGTCTGCTGGTGAGGGCTCCGCAAGCGAAGGCGGCGCTGATAGCCTTCGCCAAGAAGTCAAGGAAGCACTCCGCATGCTGGCTGGGCAAAAAACCCAGGCCGGCAGAAATGGAGTGCTCAAACACGCGGAAGCCGCAATTATGTCGGCGGTATCCCAGCAGGGCTCAGCAGGCCGGCAGATGGCCGCTATGTATAAAGAGCTGGCCGGAATGCGGCGGGAGCTGTCACGCTTGGCGGCTGCCAATTCTGCCCTGGAGGCTGAGCTTCGGGCAGCAAAAGCAGAGCTCGCAGCTGCTCGAGGAGCCCGATCCCAGCCTGCGCAGCCAGCGGAGGCCGACCTTCTTGGCCTTATGCGGCGGGAGATGGCCGCCTTCCAGCAGCGTTTCGACGTGCTGGAGGGTAGGCTCCTGCGACCTCCACTCGCAGCCGGGTCGTATGCTGCCGCAGCGGCTAAGCCCAAGCCGCCAACCAGCCGTGGGGCACAAGCCAGCGCACCGGTGAAGAAGGGGGCGAAAGCGCCGCCAGCCTTGTCACCGACGAGGGCGCCCGTGTCTCCCTCGGCGCTGGCTCCTGCGCCGACGAGCCGCAGACGAAGAGGAGCAGCGGCTGGAGCCCCAGCCGCATCGGCCACTACTCCGCCGTCTGAGTCGCGTGCTGGTAGTGAGTGGCAAGTGGTGGGAGAGGTGAGGAAGGTCGCCAAGGAGAGGAGGAAGCTCCGGAAGAAGGAGCAGCGGCAGCGGCGACAGCAGCGGCGCAAGGAGAAGCGCGCTGCGGCAATGCTCCTCGCCCCAAAATCTTCGGCTGTAGTTATCACACTACAGCCGGACGCGGCGAAAAAGGGGGTGACGTATGGCGAGGTCCTCGCCAAACTGAAGGGGGCGGTAACTCCCGCGGAGTTTGGGGCACCCGACGGGTTCGCAGTGAGGGTCACTGCCACTGGAGCCCGTCTCTTGGAGGTCCCCGGCGCGGCCAGCGGCCCGTCCGCTGACGCCCTTGCCGAGAGGCTCAGAGCGTGCATTGCGGCGGACGAAGCTCGCGTGTCCAGGCCCACCAAATGCTTGGAGCTACGCATCATGGGCCTGGATGACTCCGTGACGGAGAACGAGGTGGCGGCCGCTGTCGCAAGGACGGGGGGGTGCCCTGCTGATCAGGTGAAGGCAGGCACCATCCGCCCGGACAATACGGGGCTGCGGACCGTGGTAGTGAGCTGCCCCGTCACAGCGGCCAAAAAAACTGTCGGAGGGCAAAAGGCTCCTGGTGGGCTGGGTTTCGGCGCAGGTGAAGCTGCTGGAACCCCGACCTTTGAGGTGCTTCCGCTGCCACATTGGTCACCATGTGGGTGCCAAATGCACCTCAGAGGTGGACCGCAGCGACCGCTGCTTCCGCTGCGGTCAGCCCGGTCACAGGGCCGGCGCTTGTACCGCCCCACCGCACTGCGTAGTATGTGCGGCGGCTGGCAAGCCGGCCGATCACCGGGCTGGGGGCAAAACCTGCTCCCCCCCCACCAAGCCCAGGAGCAAAGGTAGGCCCTTAGCCACCTCCACCGCTCCCACCGTCGCTCCCGCTGCCGCCGCAGTCGCCAACACCCCTGCGACTGCTGCTGTCGCCGCTGCCGTCAGAGAGGAGGTCGTGATGGATACCCAATAATGGCTCCATTACGCCTCCTCCAGGCGAACATCAACCACTGCGTCGCTGCTCAGGATCTCCTGCTCCAGAGCATGGCGCAGTGGTCGATCAATGTTGCTGTGGTCTCCGAGCCGTACTTCGTTCCAGCCAGGGAACACTGGGTGCCAGACCTGGACGGCTCGGTGACCATCATCTCGTCGGCCGCCGCCGGTACCCCAACCCCCGAAGGGCCTCAGCGAGGCAGGGGTTGCGTCGCGGCTCGGTTCGGAGAGATCGCCGTGGTGGGCGTGTACTTCTCTCCGAACCGAACTCTCGTCGAGTTCCACAACTCCCTCAGGGAGTTAGTCACCGTCGTCGTCGGGTTCCGTCCCCTCCCCGTGTTGGTCCTCGGGGACTTCAATGCCAAGAATTTGGCTTGGGGTTCCCGGCTCACTGATGTCCGGGGAAGGATGGTCGAAGACTGGGCTCTGGAGACAGGCCTAGTCGTGCTGAACCGGGGTTCTGTCCCCACGTGCGTACGGATGCGGGGCGAGTCAGTGGTGGACATTTCGTTTGCTAGCCCCGCTCTGTCATCGCGCGTTGTTGACTGGCGCGTCATGGAGGAGGTGGAGACGTTTTCGGACCACCGGTATATACGGTTCGACGTCTCCGCCGAGTCCGCAGACCCGCCAGTCAGACGGGCCCCGTGTGGCCCGCGTTGGGCGCTTAGGCAACTGGACCGGGAGCTTTTCCTGGAAGCCGCAGTCGTGCAGGCCTGGGTGATACCACCGGTCAGGCCAGCCGACATTAACGAGGAGGCGAGATGGCTCCAGGACGCCATGTCAAGGATGTGCGACGTGGCGATGCCCCGGATCCGACCGTGCCAACGCAAGCGCCAGGTGTATTGGTGGTCGCAGGAATTGGCAGACCTGCGCGGTGAGTGCACCGCAGCGCGACGCCGATACACCAGGCACCGCAGGCTCCGTCTCCGCCCTCTGGACGCTGAAACCAGAGAGGCGGAGCTATACGAGGAGTACAGGGCGGCGAAGGCCACCCTCAGGGTGGAGATCCGGCGGGCCAAAGATCGGGCCCGCGAGGAGATGTTGGAGACTCTGAACAGAGACCCGTGGGGACGCCCCTACCGGATGGTGCGTGATAAGCTCCGCACCTGGGCGCCCCCACTGACTCAGAGTCTCCGGCCGGAGGTCGTGGACGAAGTGGTTGGGGCGCTATTCCCCCGACCACAGATGGGTTACACGCCTCCGGCTATGCCCCCGCCCCCTGCGGTGCCCAATGCGGGCTACATCGACGACGACGACGAATCCGCTCCGGAAGTGACCGAGGTAGATTTGAGAGTGGCGGTGCGCCGGCTGAGCGGCAAGAATACCGCCCCAGGACCTGACGGGCTGCATGCCAAGGTCTGGGTCCTGGCCTCGGAGTCTCTCAGGCCTCGACTACTTGGTCTGTTCAGCGCATGTTTGGAGAGAGGCCAGTTTCCGCTGTCGTGGAAGACGGGTAAACTGGTCCTCGTGAAGAAGCCGGGGCGTCCTGCGGACTCCCCGTCCGCGTACCGGCCCATTGTGCTGCTCGACGAGGTGGGAAAGCTGTTCGAGAGGATAATCTCAGACCGCCTCGTCGGGCACCTGTCTGGAAGGGGGCCGGATTTAGCGGACGGCCAGTTCGGCTTCCGCAGAGGGCGCTCCACGGTGGACGCCATCATGCGCGTGAGGGACCTCACGACGGGGACAGCGTTGGCCGGGAGGCGAGTCGTCGTGGCGGTGTCTCTGGACATCGCCAACGCCTTTAACTCGCTGCCCTGGAGCTGCATTTTGGAGGCACTCCGGTATCACCGGGTGCCTGCCTATCTCCGTCGTGTAGTCGAGGCTTACTTGACGGACAGATGCGTCATCTACCCCGGTCACCGGGGCGTGTGGAATCGGCGAGAGGTGTCGCGCGGTGTCCCACAGGGATCGGTCCTGGGACCTCTCCTGTGGAACATCGGGTACGATTGGGTGCTACGCACCGACCTCCCGAGCGGCGTCAGCATTGTCTGTTATGCTGACGACACGCTGGTGCTGGCGAACGGGAGGTCGCATCAGGCGGCGGCCGACCTGATGTCACAAGCGGTTGCGACAGTCGTTGCAAGGATCCGGCAGTTGGGACTCGAGGTGGCGCTCCACAAGTCCGAGGCCATGTGCTTCTATGGCCGTCGGAGCGCGCCACCTCCAGGTGGGTCCCAAATAACGGCAGGAGGAGTTACCATCGGCGTCGAGTCGGCGATGAAGTACCTGGGTCTCGTCCTCGACAGCCGATGGAACTTCACGGAGCATTTTCGTCGTTTGGCCCCTAAGTTAGAACGGTCTGGGGCCGCGCTCAAGCGGCTCCTTCCCAACCTCGGGGGGCCAAACGCCTCCTGCCGGAGGTTGTATATGGGGATTGTGCGATCCATGGCCCTCTACGGTGCCCCTGTGTGGGCGCCGGCCTTGAAGCGGCGGCCGGCTCGTACGCTGGTCGCGTCCCAGAGGGTCATGGCTATTCGAGTAATCCGCGGGTATCGCACGATCTCCGGGGAGGCGGCGAACCTCCTTGCCGGATCACCGCCGTGGGATCTAGAAGCGAAGGCGCTCGCGCGCGTCTACAGTTTGCGCGCAGACGCGCGTCGCCGGGGCGAAGATCCTCTGCCGCGCCAAATTAGTGCGTGGCGGAATGAGCTCCGGCGAGATCTCATGGCAGAGTGGAAACAACGACTGTCGCAACCGAGGGCCGGGCACGCTACCATAGCAGCGGTAAGACCCCTCTTTGAGGAGTGGCTTGAGAGACGCCACGGCGTCCTCACCTTCCGCCTGACGCAGGTGCTTACCGGGCACGGCAGCTTCGGTAGGTTCCTGTTTCGGATTCAGCGGGAGGAAACGCCCGAGTGTCGTCATTGTGAGGACCACCTAGAGGATACGGTGGAGCATACGGTAGCGGTATGCCCTGCCTGGGCTGAGCACCGCCGTATCCTCAGGGAAGTGATCGGCGGCGGCGACCTCTCGCGCCCGGCCTTAGTCGAGGCCATGGTGCGGAGTGAGAGGAACTGGGACGCCGTCTCCTCCTTTTGTGAAGCAGTCATGCTCGCAAAGAGAGAGGCGGCCCGCGTGAGGGAGCAATCCTCCTCCTCACGCCCCAGCAGCCGCAACTGGCGACACTACGGGCGTCGGGGATCGAGGAACGATCTCCGGCCACCGTAAGTACGGGCCTGCGGTCGGCGAGTAAGGGCAGCTCGCCGCCCGACCAGAACCAGGCCCGAGCGTACGGCGCGTAGCGTTCCGCGCGCGCCTCAAAGAGCCAATAGACCACCACAGACGGGGCCCTAAAGGGCTGATGTTCAGCCGGGGTTGCGGGGTAAGCGCAATAAGGTACCGCGACCTCGGCACAGAGCAGGAGAAGGAACAGGGGGGTTTTTAGTCAGTAAGAGTCTGACACTCCCTCCTGCCCGGCCCTGGGCGGGAGAAGTCATTTGATGATTTTCCCCTCACAAAAAAAAAAAAAAAAAAAAAAATTATAAACATTATTAATCGTCTCATTTTTATGGGTACATCTCCAAATCAACTTACTAAGTCTCTGCTATCCGGCCGTCCATAGATATAATGGTACGGATCTAACTAATAGGTAAGTATTACAAATATTTCATAAAACCTATTCTATTATATTATATTTAATTTATACCGCGTTGCTTCGAGCGCGGCAACAGTTACACAAAAATAAATCTTTAGGTATAGCATGATTCAGTGTTCAATTATAATTGTTTCGCATATTTCTGTAGTAAATCATTCTTTATTTTCGTACTCGCATCCCAACTAACCTCATAGGCTTTATCAAATACGAATAAAATAGGTTAATCTTCTTCTACACTATGTATTATAAAGAGGTATTTGTAAGTTTATGTGTTATAGGGGGGTAATCTTTGGAACCGCTGAAATTCTGTCACCGATTGATAGTTACAATGTTGATGAGTGTTCTGCTATAGGCTATAAATTATACTTCATTTGAGAATTTGAGTTAAGCTATCGCGTTAAACGCGGCTGTTTTTAAAATCCCTTGATACATTACTTTTATACATGTGTGAAGCCATGGGTGGAAGCTGGTAATTAAAATGAATTAATCAATTGGCAAAACAGAACAAACAATTTGTGAAACTTTGGATTAAATACCTTAAAAATGCAATTTACGAGTTCTATTTTTATATGAGTTGTCCAATTGTTTATATTAAAGTTGGTTCAATGTAATTAGCTTCTGAAAATCCAAATCTATACCAAATTCAACGTGATGGCTAAACAGGTACATAAAATATTGTATGTATATGTCAATAAAATAATGGAAACACAAGTTGTAGTTTTAAAGTAAAAATTATTTTTTTTAAGTAAAAATGTCTACATTATGTTTTGCAGATTAAATCTAGATTATAATCACAATAAGCAAATGTACGTAAAATGCACAGCAGCAGCTAATTTTCGATTATCGCAAAAGATAATTTTGTTAATCGAAATCAAAAATCAAATCTAGTCTGTTTTCACTACTGCTTTTCTAAATAAGTAATTAAATAATTTTAAATAAAATTGTAAACTATAAGCTGTGCAATTTACAAAACAATTGTTTAAATTATGATACAAATATTTATAGACTGAGAAACATACAGGTAGGTGTACCTAGTACTACTACCTAGTACAAATAAAAATTAGATAAATGAAAAATTTGAAAAAAGGCAAATTAAAGTATTAAATAATAAGCCAAGATGAGACGAATGACTCGGCTCAACCGGAGTGATACCAAGGGCACACAGAAAACCGACGTGAAACTACCACACGTGTTTTGCCGTGTTAGTGAGGTTACCGGAGGCCCAATCCTTTCCCTCTCTCTATCCCTAAATTCCAAAAATTCGAATCCCAAAAAGGTCAGCAACACACGCCAGAGTGTACATGGGCAGCGCTGATTGCTTACCATCAGGTAATCGGTCCGCTCGTTTGCAGACTTAAAAAAACACCTAATTCCCAAAGGTTTCTGGAGATACGTCTGCTCGGCTGTCATTAAATTGATATGTTTTTTTTTATTGAATAGGTCCGCAAACGAGCAAACGGATTACCTGATGGTAAGTAATCAGCGCCGCCCATGGACACCCGTATCGGAGGAGTAACGAGTGCGTTGCCGGCCTTTTAGGGATTAGGGTTTTGGAGATTTAGGGATTGGGAGGGATCGGTGGAGGGGAAGGATTGGGTCTCCGGTAACCTCACTCACACGGCGAAACACAACGCTGTGGTTGTTTCACGTCGGTATTCTGTGAGGCCGTGGTATCACTCTGGTCGAGCCGACCCATTCGTGCCGAAGCTTGGCGCTCCCACACTTAATACATATGTCATGAATGTAACGAAAGAAAAATTAATACCGACGCACGTTTATTTTTAAATAATTTACCATTTCTATCTTACACAGAACCTTTACTATTGATTTGAAACAAATGAGCTAGTAATTGAAAAATATACGGATCGGTCAAGTTTCCGTGTGACCGCACTCGGCCTCCATTTGACCGGCAAATTACCGTCTTACTACCGCTGTGTAGAAAAACTTAATGTAAGGTAATTGAAATTTTTCTCTATTGGCCGTGTGTTGGAATTAGCCTGTGGTTTTCCCCATTTCCATTGTTTTTGTTTGATTGAAGTAATTATTTGAGCTATTGGAGATACTTAGTGTTGCTGGCAGTACAACCTTTTTTTAAAGGGTGGAAAATCATGTCATGAGCAGAGAAATCTCGTTTATAGTAATATTGAACAAAAATAAACTATAAATTAAACAGGTCTTTTCAGATTCAAAAATTGTTTTATTTAATGTTATAATATAAGGACTGTCATGGTGGAGTATGTGGAAAGTACCAATGTTACTTTTTCCGAGTTATATCTACTTTCTATAATTATTTAGACTCTACTGACATCAGATGAAGGAAAACAACGTGAGGAAACCTGGACTAATAACCTGGATTATAAGTAAGTTTGAAATCACAAATCCGCCTTGAGCAAGCGTGGCGATTAATGCCTAAACCTTCGCCGTGTGAGAAGAGGCTTCTGGTCAGCATGGGCGCTTATAGGCTGGCGATGATGACAATATAAAGAGATCTTTCTAGTCACTTGCTTATAAAGATTAAAACAGAGTTAATTCAGATCATTATCGCCCTAGGGCTTCAAACGTTCACACCTATATGTTGAACACCTTGAAACAGTATTAAACACTGACACGTGTAATTTATGCGTGCCAGCAAACAGTGCAAACGATGCGTGTAATCCAATTTTAATACAAGTCACGCAGCAAATCACAGACTGTGCCGAGACAGGCCTATTGTCTATTATTTTCCAATAAAAACCTATTTGTATTGGAAGTCTTTAAAATATCCGGTATTTTTTTCCTTTTGAAGCGCTAAATAAGGCTATTGAAAATTAGTTGTAGTAGGCTATAGCAGGTCGATAGTGACAGCGCGGCGAGTCGTGCAGTCCGAAAATTTTATTCGCAGTTTGATAATCTTACTTTTTACCGAAGAATATGTAAACCATCTTAAAAAAAAAAAAAATGTTAAACAATAGAGCCGATTTCAAATTTCGATTTGGTTCCGAGAAAATATAAAATTTTACCGTGAAGAAACGTAATAAGTAGCATAAAATAACGCTTAATAAGGCTATTGAAAATGAATTGTAGTAGGCTATGAACATCGATAGCAACAGCGCGGCAAGTCGTGCAGTCCAAAAATTTTATTCGCAGTTTGATAATCATACTTTTTACCGAAGAATATGTAAACCATCTCAAAAAAATAAGTTAAACAATAGAGCCGATTTCAAATTTCGATTGGTTCCGAGAAAATATAAAATTTTACCGTGAAGGAACGTAATAAGTAGCATAAAATAAATAGTATTTTTATCCTAATTCTAGCTATTCGTATGCAAAAAGAGGGTAGGTATTTGTTATTTTTCGATTACAAAGTTGATAAAAACTACTTCTAGCTAAATATAACTGAAAATATAGCTAAACATATTTTTTTTAATCTATGAGTATGAATATACGTAGGTAAGGCTATAAGTATAGTTAAAAATAACATGCTAACTATGAGATTAAAAGTCAATATTATGTTTGTAAGAAAAAAAAGTAAAAACTTACAGGTACTGCTGTTCCCGTCCTCGTTATTGTAACATGCGAAGATAACAGCGTAATGTTCATAGTTTACGTCGAGGAATGAGTAAGTTTCAGTCTTTTCATCTGCAAAAGAAAATTAAAATGCATAATATAAAACAATAATTGCGACATTAGACAACGTTATCGCAAACGTAGCGATTCGGCAAGAACAAAATTGGGACCACATGTTCGCTAATAACCTTCAGAGATTGGAGTTGGGGTCAGGACTTTAGTAAAGCAGTAAGACCTTAAGGGTTTTCATTCAAAAGTAAGTGTTCGGATTGGATTTTTTTACCACTGTCTGTATTATTCTAAAGATCGTTTTAAGGCCCGGTTTGTCGGTATTACTCGAAGGATCTTTTTAAGGGGAATGGACCTTTTGTACATGCTTACTCTGTGGTAGCAGACAATACATCAACGATTACAGATCTGGCAAATAATGACAAAACGCTAATCTAAATAAATAAAATACCTGAATTTACATATTTGATGAGAACATCAGAATTTTACCAGGCTATTACAACTACCTGGTATAAGATGAAATATATAAGATAATGCAATATAAATGATAAGCATGAGGGTGCGGGTTCGAAACCTGGCAAGTACCAATGTGTCATTTTTCCGAGTTGTATGTACTTTCCATGATTATTTAGACACCACTGATATACGGTGAAGGTAAACATCGTGAGGAAACCTGGACTTAAAATTTCTAAATATAAGTTTGTAATCGCCAATCTGCCTTGCAAGCGTGGTGATTAATGCTCAAAACTTCTCCGTGTGAGAAGAGGCCTTTGCAGCAGTGGGCACTTACAGGCTGATGATGTGATGTGACTGTATAAGATGAAGATACACATGTCTCAACATGTGTAGAGTCAATGTATTGTCAGGATCAAGATCAAGGTCAAATTTAATAAGTTACATAACGAAGCCAATTTATAGGTATATACATAATCTTATTAGTTGACATCTTTTGTAACTGTCCCGTTATTGAGATTATCCACATACAGATTTTGATAGAGCCGTGTTAACAGGTTTTTGGAACGCATTAGCTGGGGGTAAGCAATCAACGCTGCACAACATATGGACACTCTCAACACCAAAGGGGTTATGAAAGGGGTGGGGAAGATTGGGTCTCTGTTAACCTCACTCACATGGAGAAACTCGACGATGTAGCTATTTCGAACCGGTTTTCTATGAGGCTTTGGTATCACTCCAGTCGACAAGACCCATTTTGTCTTGAAGCTTGACTCTCTCACACTATGGTTTTGCTTTTACTTAACTTGTCTTTGATCAGCTGGGATTGCCTAATTGGATCAGCAGAATCATGGAATACAGTCTCTTTTCTTTTTCGGATACTTATTTTATTAATGGGATAGCCTGACACCATCTAAGTAATGTAATTCAGGATCTAAAGTAGATACTACCATGAAAACATCGAAATCAGTGTTTTAGTGTTTTCATGAAAATAAGGTCATGATTGACCTGTCTTGGATTCCGCAATGAAATAAATCCAAAGAAATTATTTTAGGAGAAAAAACAAAATAGTTTCCACTTCCCTCGTTAAATTTAATGCAAGAGACAAAATGAATTAATCCTAGAAGGCACAAAAGAGGATCTACAACTGGGAGTCCAGTCACCCAATACCACGGAAACTTTTCCATTATATATTTTTTTAAATATTCCCACACTAGAATTATCTCCTGTGTTCTGGGTGCATTTACAAGCATACAATTTCAGATACATATCACACCCAGACCCGGAACCAATAATTTGTGGATCACACATTGCTCCAACCGTGCAGTCATTATGGTAGGTATTGCGTGACTATTATTGCAATAGGGCTTATGTGTGAGCTGCTATACTTGTTTCCAGTAATATTCGTATACTCATTATAATAATTATTTTGTGGAATCGTATAATCAAGTTGTGACTGTTTCGCGAGACAAAACTGCCGCTGACATTTCAGCAGGAGTTATGTACTTCACTTAGCATTAGCTTGTGGAATTAGCGACAATGTGTTAGTTGACGTTCGGATATGGTACATAAAGCATATTCTAATAGAGTTGATTTTTGTTGGTAATATTTATACATATTTCTACCTATGGAACTTAAACTTGGGCCCGAAAAGAAACCCTATGTTCGCTTATATTTGACGCTACAATAATATTACTATTTAATATATCATCTACAAACATTTCTTTTAAATTAGCTAAAAATTTTGTTATGTTAAATATTTTTCCCCGTAAAAAATTCTAAGTCCAAAACCGAAAAAACGATTTAACCGATTTTAATGAAATTTGGTAAGCAATATTTTAGGAATAACAACATTTTCAAAATCTTGAACAAGTGAGCTGTTAAATGTGATTAAGTTTGTATGGAATTAAAATATTTTTGTCATGCCTTGATTAGGAGTTAGAACGCAATGTCGGGAAACGGTTATCGACGCTAGCGGAGGATTATCCTTCGACAGTTTTTGTAAGAAGTCAAAGACTTAAGAACTTTTAAAAAAATCAAAGAATGTTCAAACCATCTTCATTTCTCTCCCATAACTATTTTCACAATCATAACTAACTTGTTGTGCAAATATAACCAGAACAAAAACACCCGTGTAAGTGAGGACTATGCTTCCCAATACTTTTCCACTCACACCTCCCCAAACGCTAAACCCCCTTAACGCATAATCCTTAAAATGCAAGCCCAATTGCAACTTCATGTCGCCGAGGTCAATGGGCGAAACCAAAATATATACTATCAAGGGCCTATATAGGCAAAATGGGCCTACCCGTTTTGGTAGGCCGTCGTTTCACATCCAAGTCGAAAAAAAAACTACAGTATCTTAAAGCTTACCATCATAAGTAACCAGCAGTAGATCCCCAGTGCTATTACTGTTAGGATCTGGAATGAGAGACACGGAACCATTGTAGTAGGCCACTGTGTTGTTAGTGATCCAGCTGATGGAGACGTCTGTGGTGTTCTGGTGATCGAAGAGTACGGTAGCACAGTCACCCTGTACCACCATGTCTTCTGTCGCTACTGCTGTTAAATACCAGATGCCGTCCAGCTGGGGAATAAAAAAATATTATTTTTAAACTTTTGCGTTTCATATTTACAACATTTAATAATTTCACGGGTATTAACGCGAAAAGTATTTATTCCTATGTGACATCGCATCTTTAGTCTGCTTGTAACTACGACCTGTGCAACCAGGTCGAAACGTCAAGCCTACGCGCGAACAGGGGGGTTTTTAGTCAGTAAGAGTCTGACACTCCCTCTCGCCCGGCTCTGGGCGGGAGAAGTAATTTGATGATTTTCCCCTCACAAAAAAAATCCTACCAAGGTATTTCAATAAATACTTTTCGCGTTAATACCCGCGTAATTATACGTTGTAAAAAATATTATTACCTAAACACTAGCAATTCTTGTATTTAAATATGTATGTAATATAGAATCTGAATCTCGGAAACAGCTTAGACAATAATTGTCATAAAATTTAGTGTACATGGTTTTTCATCGCTGTTTTCGGAGCTAGGATTCGTTTTTAGAAAATGTTAAAAAGATACCAAGCAAAACTTGGTCATCTCGATACTATTGCGTTATACTAATAGAGTCCTATTGTCACAATATCTTCATCTAAGCGGGTGCATATGTGGTTCTTAGTGGCTGTACAGGCAACATTATAAATATTTTTTTTAGGGTAAAACATCATCCTATATGTCCTTACTGAATATCAATCACCCCGTTGCTTCTCCTACTCCAGTTTGAAGAAACATTATCGCGCTTGAATCGTTTAAAACCCCAGTCGAAAAAAATATTTTAATTTTTTGGCGGCATTCGATATGGTATCTTTGTGTGTGGTTGTGGTATTTATGTGTGTCTCTTGTTGTTTTAACATACATTAAATTAAATTAAAATATTTTTAGCTGTTCTATGGACTTCATTCATCAAGTTTAGATGTGCATTGTTTGTTCTTAATTTAATAACACAACATAAAGAATACTTTTGCTCTTAAGCTTCTCATAATTGCATAAATAAAACAATTGAATTTACAGCAAATGACAAAACATCATCACAGATAGCACAATTTATCCATGAACACCAAAAAATACACACAGTTTCGAATCTTCCAGAAGGAATCTACATAGCTTACCGCTTTCCAATCTAATTCCCGTGGCGTCACAGCTGGACAGCTCACATTCATGGTGGCACCTTCCACTCTCCATAACAAAACGACCAACACAAAACATTGGGCCAACATTATGACAAACACAGGCTGCCGATGCTGGCATCCAACTGAAACCTAACGCAAAAAGTTACGTCTTATAAAGTGTATAGTTTTTGTTGGCTTCAGTTCTGTAGTTCCGGGGAGATTTGTTGTATAGACTACAGGGTTTGTGTCAACGAATATTTTATTTATTTTATAAAATATTATGTAGGTATTGTTTTGCAGTTAGTAGATGTCGGGTCATCATTAAACTAAGAGATAAAAACATTGCCGAATAAAGAGGGTTAGGTCCATTACCACATTTTTTTAAATAGTGTAATGTTTTTTATTATCAGGAACTCTTTGTTTGTCTTAATGTTATAGGTGAGCTAAGGATTATACCTGATGGTAAACAATCGGCGCCGCCCATAGACACCTGTAACACCTAAGGAGTTACAAGCGCAAAGGACTAGGGCTCCAATAACCTCAAAAAATAAAAAAATCCAACTGAATACAGTCGTTTCATCAGATTAAAGGTGTCATGCTGAAGAAAATTGCATTTAGAAAATTTACCGAGTTTATCGTGGTTTACAGCAGTGGTAGGCTTTTGAAGGGGTCCCGTTTCTACCCCGTCAGTTGATCAACCCCACCATGCAGTTCGACAGATTAAAATCCTTACATTATCATAGATGCATGGAGCACATACACTATCAATAACAGTCAAACAATAAGGCCTTAAACAAAATTTGTACTTAATAATTTTGGAGAACTATCGATTCCCTCTTCCCATACCGGAGGAAGAAATGTTACTGAAGCATAGATGCTTCCTATAGTCCAATCCCTATGATGCTTGTGTACTTACGTCGATTCTATAAAACGTGTTTGATTTTGAATCTTGTTCGAGTGTAAAGTGGGCGTCGAAGTGACGGGGAAATTACATTACAAAATGCCACTTTTACCGTCATCTCAAAATGTTGCGGTCAATTTAGTTCAACTCGCAAGTGTAGCGCTAGTGTACTACTTCTCACAGTGGATTCAGATTCGAAGTTTAGAATGAAGTCTTAAGTGTGGGAGAGCCATGCTTCGGCACGAATGGGTCGGCTTGACCGGAGTGATACCACGGCCTCACAGGAAACCGGCGTGAAACAACCACAGCGTTGTATTTCGCCATGTGAGTGAGGTTACCGGAGGCCCAATCCTTCTCCTCCCCCAATCCCTAATCCCTAAAAGGTCGGCAACGCACTCGTAACTCCTCTGTTGTTACGGGTGTCCATGGGCGGTGCTGATTGCTTACCATTAGGGTGCTCATAATCCGTATGCTCGTTTGCCGACCATAAAAAAAGGCTTACAGAATCACACTGCCGGGCTCCCCTACTATTTTAGTTATAAATAAATTACTCATATATAAAAAAAGCTATTTGTTTGTTCTCTTGTTTATTATAGTAAGCATAGGAAGTAGGCTTCCGATTGTTACAATATTTTCTTGCTATGTGCTACATAATAGAATAAAAAGTAGAGGTCTTCTTTTGTTATTCGATCTAAGTTTGTACATTTTTTATTTAGAGTAGCAATTGTATTTATTTATGTGGCAAGAAATCTTTTGTGCTTATTTTTTTAAATAAATACTCTTCCTTCATAATAATATTATTTCATTATAAATAACATCTTTTTACGTTTTATAAGGATGATTATTGTTAAATGTTTGTGTTTTTTTTTTTGTTTTGCGTTTCGTTTTATTTTATTGGATTTCCTTTTTTTAATGTGATATTATCACTATAGATGTTCACAATTTTAAACACTATTTTAAATTTTTGAGACAAATAAGTATTTATGCTAAATTACTGAAAAAATCAATCACGCGTTCGCACGACGAAGTAAAATTCTCACAACTTCATTTTCGCAATTTTGTAACTCATTGAATCCGTACTTGGCCACACCTTTTTAGACCGACGGCCAGCCGTGGTTTCGTGTACCAAAAAAATAATAAATAGTTACAAAATTGAAAACTAGGCAAGCAATCAAATGATGTGGTTAACAAAGAGGATATTCTGTTTAAAATGACATTATTTTTTATTTAGATAACAAAAATAAATATTACATTTGACATAATATTTATATGACGTTCAATATACATAGGTACTATATATATTATATATTTTTGAAATGGTTTTCCTCACTAATCAACACGACATATTATTTCACACCAGTATTCTGTGAGGCCGTAGAATCACTCTGGTTAAGCCATCCGCTCTCAAGCATGGCTCTCCCATACCTTAAAGCATAGACGTTTTGTAACATATATTCGAGCTGCAACGAGATTGGAATGAATTTATTGGAAATCAAAGACTTATCGTGCATCTGCGCTATCGGTGTCCAAACAAGATAAAGATAACAAAACATCTTATCATACTTTCACAGACAATTTAACAAACTAGCTTGAGAGATCACACTAACAAAAATGTACGGACAACAGTATTTATTACACTTATTATTAGTTATTTGCTTAGTGTTTTGTAATGGGCAAGTTTTGCAGTTCGGAACCTGCCCCGATGTGAAAACTATGCAGTACTTCGACGTCGAAGAAGTAAGTTTTTTTTTCTATCAGTTTGTATATTTATATTAGCTTAAGTCTATTTATACATAATATATCGATACAAAAACATTTCTTATCTTCTTCTAGAATAATACTAGAATAACGAATAACTATTGTGGTGGCCCAGTGTTACCCGTTAATTAATTTCCAGTTCTATGTAGATACTTTTTAGAGTTTATTATTAGGACACCACTAGTATACATACGTTGAAGGAAGACATCGTGAGGTAGTGTCGTTATCATCATCATCATCATCAGCCTATAAGTGCCCACTGCTGCGCAAAGGCCTCTTCTCACACGGAGAAGGTTTGAGCATTAACCACCACGCTTGCTCAATGCGGGTTGGCGATTTCAAACTTATAATTAGAAATTTCAAGTTCAGGTTTCCTCACGATGTTTACCTTCACCGTATGTCAGTGGTGTCTAAATAATCATAGAAAGTACATATAACTCGAAAAAAGTCATATTAGTACTTGCCAGGTTTTGAACCCACATGATGTATGACAAGCGGGCCCCTTAACTTCCGTCATTCCGTCCATCATAACATAACAAGTAGTATCTGTACTTATAATTTCGTAATTACCAATCTACCTAAAGCAAGTGTGGTGATTCCAGCATGTTTTTTTCTCCGTGAAAAGAGGCCTTTTCAAACTATTGGGGATGCTTACCTACATACATATAATATGCTGACGATATGATTTGGTGTATGTTTTTCATAACCATTGGCCAATTGTTGCAGTATAAGACATATGGCATTTTTAAAAAACTATGTAATGTAACAATAGCTGCTGTTTCTTATTTTAAACTTGGAGGGAAAATCATCTTCTACTTCTCTCGCCCAGGGTATATATACCGTGAGGAAGTGTCAGACTCTTACTGACTAAATACCCCCGCTTCTTTTCCTGCTCCAGACTAAGGCCGTGCCTTATTGCGCTTGACCCGTGACCTCGGCTAAGCATAGCCAGGTTGGGCCCCATCTGTAATGGTCTATTGGCTCTTTAGAGAGGCACGCGGAATGCTACATACCACGCTGTCTCTGAACCTGAATCTTCTATCTAATATATAAGAATCGCAAAATGTGTTGGTAAGCGCATAACTCAAGAACGCCTGGACCTATTTTGCCAATTCTTTTTTAGTTGTATTAATTATTGTCAGGAGAAGGTTCTTATCAAAGAAAATTTTCGAAATATCGAGGGGAAAGTTGGGAAAAGGTGACCCTTTCATTGTTTAAGCGATAGTTGGACCCGTGCGAAGCGGGGGCGGCCCGCTAGTTCCAAATAAAAATGCGCAAATATTCGTTAAAAATCACCTTTATTTACAGTTTTTGGGGCAATGGTATGAAATAGAGAGATTCCCAATCTGGTACGAGCAATACGGTGATTGTGCATACAAAAGATTACAGTACTGTGGACGACGTGTGGAGATTGAACATGTATACGTTAGAGATGGCGTGCAATTCGTCCTGCACCTTAATACCACCTACATACCTGGACACGAAGCTGTATTTGAGATACCACAGAGTAATATTGGTAAGTTAATAAAATTAATTACACATATTAATTTAATTTATAGTAATTTTTTATGTGTGGAAAACGTGCACACAAATTACCTGGTGGTGAACCTGATGAGCAACGCCAGTTGGATGCCAATGCCACCAGTTGGATGAACACCAAAGGAGTTACAAGTGGTCGCTGGCCGTTTAGCGATTAGGGTTTCGAATATTTAAGGATTGGGGAGGAATGGATGGGAGGGAAGGATTAGGGCCCTGGTAACCTCCAGTTATATCACCCCAATTTTCTGTGCGTCTATGGTATATCTCTAGTCGAGGCGACCGAATCTGCAAAAACTTCAAACAACCACAGCGTTATGTTTCGCCGTGTTAATGAGGTTACCGGAGGCAATCCTTCCGCTTCCCCAATCTATAATACCCAAAAGGTCGGCAACGCACTCGTAAATCCTCTGTTGTTGGGGGTGTCCATGTGGCGCACTGATTGCTTACCATCAGATAACTCGTTGGCCGACATATCATATAAAAAAGAGAAAATGAAAGCAGAACACAGTGGAATTGACCACAAAAGATGATTAGATAGTGACATAATCCAAATTGTTTTAATCCTTTAATATATTTTGTGTTTATATTTTTATCGACGCTTTTATCATAAATATTATGTTTATTTAACAACACAAAACCTTTAAAATCTTAAAGCCTTACTTAGTACTAAGCCATAATAATATTATTATTATGCAATTTCATAATGACGCGTTTTGAGTCACCAAATTCTTTACTAGATTTCTATATCAAATCAGTTGAAACATCAATGTTTTGATAAACACCATTTGTTTATTTCGATGCAATAATTCGTTCGTTGTGTTGTTGAATCAATGCTTTGGTATTTCACTTTTCGACGTTTTTTGTGAGATAATGTGGTAAACGATTACCTGATCATAAGTAAATAAGAATACAGGTCGGTTCCGAAGAATTGCCCTTTGACACGTCCTGTATCTCGGTTGCATAACCATTAGTGTTAAAATTATCGTAAACACTTACATAAGATGTCCTGTGTTTATTTTTCTTTAATATTATTATTTCAAAGAACACAGCCCTACTTACCATTTTCTTCTGTGTCTTGGGCACGTCGAAAAGTGAAAACAAAATCATTTATTTCTAGTAAACTATTCTCAGGTACTTTTGAAGCATCAAAATATAATAATAGCCCGTCAGTCTATTCGTCAGTGAAGCTACATTGGTGCCTCTTCCAAAGTCTTGTACATTATTAAACAGACTTTTATCGAAAATTGGTTTAAAGCACAGTGCCACCAGACAATCGGCAAAACGCCATCGCTTTATGGTGGATATCCCACCTACATGCACGAAAAGGTTCGCCTGCAGTTTTATAATCCTTACCGCTCTTTCAGGTCTCAGGTTATACCCTCATCTCTAAGGGTATCTTCCAGGCCTGAGTGAATAGGTTGCTTATGGGTAGGCATGCTCCATCGTAGGCCCCATTATCGTTTACCACCAGGCGTGATAGCAGCCAAATGGCTGTTCATTCCGCACAAAAAAAACGAGATCTAGAATCAAAATGTGTGAAAAAATCCTAGAGTTGAGAACCGCTTTATTAAACGTACTCTATTATTATGTAACAACGAACTAAATACAAGAATTTGTAGGTATGTACAGAAGCCTAGGAGTTCTGTCATCTTAGCTCTAAAAAGCTGAAGTCTCTTTGACCTAAATTCAACATGATCAACAAAATGATTTACCTTGCTAATTACTTATCACTTATCTCTTTCAAATAAATTATGTAGTTTCAGGAATTTCCAGTTACGAGTACCTATCATCAGAAAACGAATTAATATTTTTCCTTAATCTACTGATTCAGTTACATGTTTATAACATAAATACAGCAGAAAAAAATAATTATATAATGTAGCAAGCACTTTTTACCTATTATTTTAATAATCTTATCTTCATAAGCTCAACATAATTTGTTAAGTATGTACTTTTAATATATAAAATCGCAACAGGATCACTGGAATTAGGGTATCATCATTATCAATTAAATAAACCAAAATACCTAATAATTCTTTGACCAATGTTATGAAATCTCTGGGTTGTCCTACCAAGTAATACAAACTCGGGTTGAGTTTGTATTACTTGGTAGAACAACCATTCGCCCAATTACGTCTATTTCAAAATCATTTATGTCAAAGAGACCACTGTAGGCACTTTTAAACGTTCTGTCGTTTGGCTCCTAAGTTGGAACGGATTGGGGCCGCACTCAAGCGGCTCCTTCCCAACCTGTGGGGCCAGACGCCTCCTGCCGGAGGTTGTTGGCCCCTGTGTGGGCGCCGGGGGAGTTTTTAGTCAGTAAGAGTCTGACACTCTCTCTCGCCTTACCCTGGGCGGGAGAAGTCATTAGATGATTTTTCCCTGACAAAAAAGGAACTTTTAAACGTCAAACAAAAAAATAAACATTAAAAACTTTATGTCTGTCAGCCTCTCGGTCTGTCCTCTAGTGAAGCTATTTGTTAGTTTCAAAGTGTACCTAGTCAAGTTCCTATAAAGAAGAACAAGCAATTTTCTCCTTACAACTAATTAATTTAATAGCCATTTTGTTTTTAAACATTGGGAGGTAGAAATGTAGATAGAGAGAAAGAGAGGGAAAGAGAGAGGGGGAAAGTGAGAGAAATGTATGTCGAATATAGTGAGACTCTAAAATTGTCGTCCCCTTTACCATGTATAACCTATATTCTAGCAAATAAAGCATTAATTCATTCATACATTCGTTGAATGTATCTTTTATTGCATCAAACACATGATTAATCCATCTTTCTATCATAAGTGCCTTTCGTGCATGGAGAAGCAATGACCATAAATTATAATGCTTGCTTATTTAGAAATGACTAGCTCTTACCCGCGGCGTCGCTCCCGTCGTTTGACTATCTACGCTACTCTACCTACCCTACTCTACCTACCCTACTCTACCTACCCTACTCTACCTACTCTACTCTACCTACGCTACTCTACCTACCCTACTCTACCTACCCTATTCTACCTAACCTACCCTACCTACCCTACTCTACCTACCCCACTCTACCTACCCTACTCTACCTAACCTACACTACCTACTCTATCCTATCCTTTCCTATCCTATGTCCTTCTCCCAGTTCTTAGTTACCTCCCTACGAATGTTCAGCTAAATCGGTTCAGCCGTTCTTGAGTTATAAGTGAAGTAACTAACACGACTTTCTTTTATATATATAGATAACTACTGTCAGAACCTGTTTTCCCAGTATAGGTACAGTCAGCTCCAAAAGTCGATGAACAGAATCAACTTTCCAAAACACCTGTTCACAATAAAATGCCATAAGTTATAGTCACAACTAGGAAACAAAATAGCCTGTACATCAGAAATTTACAAAAGTCGGTAAACACGACTAATTCAAAAGTATCTGTGCACTATAGTATTCCTAAAGTCGCTGTACACCATCAATCCAAATGTCGCTGAACATCATTGTATCAAAAGTCAGTAAACAGCAGAAAAGTCAAAATTAGGTTAACAAAGTATATTTTAATGTTGCCCTGTGTTAATATAATTTTGACGCTTATGTTGTTCAGCTACTTTTGGGATAGTGCTCGCTAGACCTTAATAATGTATTTTAACACGTTAGTATCCATTTCAATACTTATTTACACATCAATTATATTTATAACCGACTTCAAAAAAGGAGTAAGTGCTCAATTCGATGCGTATTTTTTTTATGTATGTACACCGATTACTCGACGACGACTGGACCGATTTGCAAAATTCTTTTTTTATTTGATCGGGTTTACCTGCCATTTGGTCCCATTGTCATGAGGTCAGAATCTGATAGAGAAATCGAGGGGAACTTTCAATAATTGCAGGGGCGAGTAGTTCTTTTGTATGATGTTTAAGTAGGTCTTTTACAACAGTATAACTTGACGAAGGTCGAAGTCGACCTGATGTTGGAGCTGGAAGACAGTCGAGGGATCTCCTTGACTATTTGGAGTAGTTGCCTTGTGTTTGAGCTTGAATGATTCGTATTGGCACTTTGCACCAGGCTTGGTCGTAACTGTCATTAAGGGTCTGATGATGAGAACGAAGGACAGGGAACTCCTGAACGGATTATAGTAACTACTTCGTGTTTGAACTTAATTCATATTGTCAGTAATCATACTAATATATAATATGAAATAACATAAACATCACTCTAACAATCTACGAAGTAAAAAACTTTGTACACAGAAAATTTATTTTTTACGTTTGTGTTTACTTTTTGAAGTCGTTTGTTTTTATTCATTTAGGTAAATAGAAAATAATAATAATAACTATTTTTATAATCTCGCAGTAGGTGCCAAGTAAATGCTACATACCAAACAACAACAGTATTAGAAACGTGTATTGATCGCTACCTAGTAATCATCATTGTTTTACTTGGTACCTGGCACTTAATTGGCACCGACTTCGAGATTATAAAAATAGTTATTAATATTATTTTCTATTTACCTAAATGAAAACATGTATTACTTTGTACACAGAAAATAATTTTTTTTGTTAAAAATTATTTTATTTCATCATTTCAAGTGATATGCAGAGCAAGCAAGGATAATGCGTTTCGAATGAGAAGACGACGGCTACTTGAGACCGAAAATCACGGTAATAGTAGTAGTCCTTAGTGTTCAGTTCTGTAAATTGTTGAGGAATGCCCTCGACTGTCAATGGTTTCCATCATTATGTGTACTGTAGACCTTCAACATAGTTACATAATCTATATAGGTGCAAAGTGCTCACCAATACGAATCATTCCAGCCCAAACACAAAATAATTACTCCAAATAGTCAAAGAGATCCCTCTACGGTCTTCCGGCTCCATCATCAGATTTACTGCATAACTTCATTGTAACTCATGTAGGTGCGAAGTTTTTATTGATATAAATGAATTAATTCCAAACACGAGGTAGTTACTGGAAACCGTTCAGGCGTTCCCTGAGCTGTCCTTCGTTGTCATCATCAGACCCCTAGTGACAGTCACTACCAGTCTTGGTGCAAAGTGCTCACCAAGAAGAATTATTCAAGCCCAAACACAAGGCAATTACTCCAAATAGTCAAGGAAATCCCTCGACTGTCTTTCATCATTTCATCATCATCAGGTCGAGTTCATCATCGACAAGTTGACGTAAATACCTGAATAACTTCAGAAAATATACGAATCATGCCGACTGTCGCTATAAAATTTTAAATTTCCACTCGATTTTTCTGGGTTTCTATCATCAGATCTTGACCTGGTGAACATGGGACAAACTGGAAATTATACCCTACTGAACAAAAAAAAAAAAAAATCCAAATCGGTCCAGGAGCCTTAAGTAATCGGTTAACATAAAAAAAAAATCCCGACGAATTGAGAAACTCCACCTTTTTTTAAAGTCGGTTAAAAATATTATTAATTTTTAAATAAGTATTGAAAAAGATACTAACGTGTTAATATACATTATTAAGTTACACTGTCCCAAAAGTAGCTGAACAACATAAGCGTCAAAATTATATTAACACAGTGCAACATTAAAAATATACTTTGTTAACCTAATTTTGACTTTTCTGCTGTTTACTGATTTTTGATACAATGATGTTCAGCGACATTTGGATTGATGGTGTACAGCGACTTTAGGAATACTATAGTGCACAGATACTTTTGAATTAGTCGTGTTTACCGACTTTTGTAAATTTCTGATGTACAGGCTATTTTGTTTCCTAGTTGTGACTATAACTTATGGCATTTTATTGTGAACAGGTGTTTTGGAAAATTGATTCTGTTCATCGACTTTTGGAGCTGACTGTACTTAGGTCTGAAAAGTCACATTAGCACCCGAAGTATATGAGAACGTGATGATCGTGCACGAAAATTTTCAGGCCACTTCTATTATTAATGTAAAAATATTTAAAGAAACAAATTATACGAAAAATGTTTATTAAGTAGCTACTTTTTTACAAAAACAGTGATTTATTAATGGATAACTTATCGAATAATGTGCATATTAATCAGAATCAACAATCAGTTTCGCTCACTCGATATTACTCAATTGATACCCTTTATCAGTTTTGATAATTTGTTGTCTGACGTACATAATAATGGAATTAATGGAAGATTTAGAAGTATTTGTTACATCCTTTCAGCCTATATTTTGGGTGCAAGCGAAATAATTTACAGAGGCCCTGGCCTAGAGCAGAAGAAGGAACGGGGTGTTTTTTTATTGTTTTTAAAAAAAAACGTTGCCCTACATTTGGGTTTTCTCCTGTGTCGTGGGTGCTGTTACAAACATACACCAGACCCAGACCCGGAACAACAATTTGTGGATCACACAAAGAGTTTTGTTCCGTGCGAGAATCGAACCCGCGAGACGTTGCACGGCAGCCAGTTGCCCAGCCACCGCACCAACCGTGCAGTCGTCACGTTTTAGTCAGTAACAGTCTGATACTCCCTCTTGGCTACCCAAAAAGAGTAGTCTATAGATACATTTCCAAGCCCTCTACAACACCCAAAAGGTTGACAAAGCAAAAATGTTTTCATCCCCATCACAACGAGGATGACAGTCAACAACCGAGAAACTTTCTGCTCCGCACAGCGAAACTTTGGAACGATCTTTCGGCCGCGGTATTTCCCGAACGATACGACCTTCAAACCTTCAAGAAACGAGCCTACTCCTTCTTAAAAGGCCGAAAAGCGCCTGTGACTCCTGAGGTGCCGAAGGCGTTCGCGGGATCCGCCGATCACTTACCATCAGGTGACCCGACTACTCATTTGCCTCCTATTCCATGCAAAAAAGAACCGCAATTGTAATTCTTCTGGTATTGCGAGTATCGTGGTCAACTCCGAAACCTTGCCATCAGGTGCTCGTTCCATTTTTTTTTATGTGATAGGACGGCAATCTAGCATTCCGATTTCCTGATGGTAAGCAATCAAAACAGCCCATGGACACCTGCATCGATGGAGAAGTTACAAGTCCATTGCCGCCCTTTTAGGGATTAGGAATTTGGAGATTTTGGGATTGGGGAGAGTTTGTGGGAGGGAAGAGATTGGCTCATCTGCTCGTTTGCTGTCCTTGAACACTTCAATCCATGCAAACATTAACCTAAGCCTTGTATCATTACAGATCCGATCGGGATACCATTTTCGGTGATATCGACTGATTACAAGAATTATGCAGTTGTTTACGGGTGCAAAAATAATGAATCACTTGGACTCAAATACAGTGAGTAGCATACATATATATTTTATTAGTCACGCAATCACTTCTTTGTACATATGAAGGTATGTATAATATCTACCTATCTATAGATATCTACAACAAAATGCAGAACAAAAAAGTAACTGTTTCCATATTCAAACTTAAACTGGTCTTTTAAATATACCTATGGTTCAAAGTCAAAGTCAAAATCAAAATCATTCATTCCAAATTAACCACAAAAAGGTACTTTTGAAACGTCCAAATAGAACAAAAGTCTTTCAATCCATTCTCGTTCTAAAGTGTTGATTCTTAAGGTTTACTTCTCTCTTGTAAAACTGTTCACTTCTGGTAAAATAAATTATTAAAGTGTTTCGAATGTAAGTAATAAGACCGATGGTAGATTTTTAATGTCTATTAAATGTGTGATTTCTTTGTTTGTCCATACAATGGCAGTGCACAAATTTGTCATATAAAATATAGACTAGTATTTCTTAACCGATGAAGACGAAAAGTCTTTGGAGGACGTCCTTGTTAGGGTTACAGGAAGATGAGGCGTGAGGACATTGTTCAGCATTGAACATCATCCAGCTAATAATGATGATAATTTTATTACAATTTAGAATTATGTTCAGTCATAATGGCATGCACTTATGGCCGATTTCAATAATCGATCTTAATCAAGAGTCTATGTATAAATATTTTATTGATAGTATCTTTCGTGAGACATAATGAATTTATTGAAAATAATGGCTGCCGCGTGTCGCGCTCTCTGCTCTAAAATAAGAGCCCATTTGTGACTTGAAACTACGTCATAGAATATTAATTTCTCAGTCAATTCTTAGTCTAAGTAATTTTCAACAGCATTAGACAAAGTTAGTTTTTTTGCCAAAAACTACATAGAAGAGCGTGGATGATTGGGATCAACATCAGTTATTCCAATCGGCATTAAATAGTTAATAATGACTGCATGTCTAAGTGGTCCGGAGGTTAAGGCACCCGCTTGTCGTGCATGAGGGTTTGAATCCTGGTCAATATGACTTTTTCCGAGTTATATGTACTTTCTATGATTATCTAGAAACATCGTAAAGAAACCTGAACTTATAACTTCTCATTATAAGTTTGAAATCGTCAATAATCGAGCAAGCGTGGTGATTAAAGCTCAAACCTTCTCTGTGTACGAAGAGGCCTTTTCTCAGCAGTGGGCGCTATAGGCTGATGATAATGAATGGCTGTACGTTAGATTTGTAACGAAATAATAATTTAACTACTACTAGCGACATCTGTTTGTAGGTATGTCAACCCTAATTATTCTGTGATTGTGTCTTCCGGACAAATAAAAACCGTACACGCTGTGTTTCATTACTGCATTATGATTTCAAACTTCATTTCCAGTTTCAGCCTGGATTTTATCGCGACAGTCAACCCTACCTCAAGAATACCTGTCCTTGGCATACAGGGATGTGAACTCCGTGCCATCTGTGAGCCAGATATACATGGAGAAGGTCAACCACAGTGCTACAAGGTGTTCATCATATTGGACTGCTCACATTCAACCGATTTATTTTAATCAAGATGGCCAAAAATAAATGTTAAGATTGTAATAAGCTTGTTTATTTCTGCAATAGAAAAAATGCAAAGGTTTGTATTCTATTGCCTATTTAGGTACTAACTGTTTAAGAATTGGTGCTTGAATGGTTCTTTATTTTCGTAAAAAATCTGAAAGCTATATAGTAAAATAATATTATTCAAATGCGGTTAACTTAGATTTCTCCACAAGCCCTGTATCTACAGCGGGCATGCGGTTCTATTTTTGAATGGGACATGGCCGCCTCATCCTTCCGAAACCGCTGCAACTCCTGTAAGCCAGGATCTACAGTAGATACAATCATGAAAACACCGGAACACTGAAGTCGTACACGTCCCAGGGACATGAATGACTGTCTTAGATGGAAATAAATCAAAAGATCAAGAAGGCAGGGGGTTCCTTAGCATTATCCACCTAAGATTCTAAAGAGGGTATCTCTTGAAGGCCTACGAGATAAAAAATGCTACAGGTATCAACAGGTCCGCGATTTAATAAAATGGGGAATGAATAGGGTTATTTGTCGTAATTCATATAATTTATACATATAAGCTGCTGTTTGTAATGCTATTCATTTTGATTCTTGCATACTTCTTTAGATTCACTTTGCATGTATCAAGAATCGAGAGACTATCTCCGGTCACCGTAAGCGCGGGTAAGGGTAGCTTGCCGCCCGACTGGAACCAGACCCAAGCGTACGGCGCGGAGCAGCACAAACAGCTAATAGACCACCACAGACGGGGCCCTATAGGGCTGATGTTTAGCCGGGGTTGCGGAGTAGGCGCAATTAGGCACCGCGACCTCGGCCTAAAGCAAGAGAAGGAACAGGGGGGGGGGGGGGTTTAGTCAGTAAGAGTCTGACAGTTCCTCCTGATTTTCCCTCACAAACAAAAATGTATCAAGAATAGAGTAGCAGCTAAGTAACAAAATACAAAACAATATACTTTTATCAACGTATAAATACTACTGAAACACTTCGATTAACCAAATCAGATAGCTACTTAAATTAAATACATTTCATATTTTCATAGATTATCTATCTTGCTAATTAGGTACTTTCGTTGGCAAAGAAACGTTTTCAAAATATAACCAATGTCGTATTATTGATAAATATTTTTTATCAGATCTCTTTTAACGGGAACTACCTGATACCAATAACTGAATGATATAATTAATTTGCGTCAATTTATTTTTGATTGCCATTATAATGTTGTGTGGTTATTGCAGAGTAGAATTCGTTTTGCCAGAACCCTCAGTATTGTTGAAGATATCGTATCATTAAAGTCAACTACCCATATGTATCATGCCAGAACCAGAACCAGAATGAGTTCCATACGCGCTTCAAATCCATCAGACTACAGGGGAAGACAAGGGCCAACTTCGGGCCTAAGCCCATTGCAAAAGGCAGGCAATGCACTTGAAGTAAGGCGGATCTATAGCTCACCATCGAATATCATAATCATAATCATAATCAGAACTGATCCATTATTGCATCCACAATGTAAGATAAGATGGTAATAATATGTATAGTAACAATCATGGACCCTGATGGGCACAGCAAATAGTAAATTAGAAGAGAGGCAGACTTTTTTATATAGAATTATGCTCAAGTATTTCATATTCTAAGTATGTATAGTATTGCTATTATGTTTATATTTTAATAGGTATTTAGATATTAATATATATTTTATTTGTATTTTGTACATGATATTATAAGGTTATCCGTTCTAAATTTTATATAAATTTATTTTATTGTATTGCATCGCTGAATGTGCGTGTTTGCCGTTCTACCCCAAAGAAATAAAAATGTTCACACGTGTAGGTTCTTAAACACTTTATTGTAAAGATTGATCAGTACATTAATAATAAAGTTGTACGACTTTTCGGCTTTTATCGTATGATTACAGGGTACCTAAATGTCATGGGCTCAGCCTGACGGTCTTCGTAATATTTGGGAGAACATTTGGACCAATCATCTTTGACCAACTTGTTGGCGTCCACACCGATGCGACTCAATGATCTGACAGCAAGCTCTTTGGAAACATCGTTCAATAATTCATTTCTTGATAATATCCACACGTATACTGAAAAATGAATAAATATAGCATGAGTTCATTATAAAATTAATACAATTCTAACTTGAAATGTGGTGTGGAATCTCTATGCAGAATGCTTTAAGTTTGGAAGAGCCAAGCTTAGGCACGAGTGGATTGGCTCGATCGGATTGATTCCACGGCCATATAAAAACCTGGCGGGAAGCAACAGTTTTGCGTTTCGTCATTTGAATGAGGTTACCGGAGACTCATTCCTCTCACCTCATCCCTTCCCAATCCCTTAAACTTCATGAAATCCAAATCCTCAAAAGGCGGGCAAAGGACTCGTAAGGCTTTTGTATAGGTATATAAGTGGCGGCATCGATTGCTTAACATCAGGTAAGTCGGCTGCTTGTTTTCTTAGTACTTATGTAGAACAGATGGCACGCACTAAGTATATATAGTATCTTGACATCAAGAAAATATAAATCGCAGTCAAATAATAAATTGGATACTTACTGAAATGCTTATCGATAAGTGGACTGTACTCGCACGTGTATACAGTTGCGTAGTAATTGTAGTTAGTGGCCAACACGTAGAACGGATACTTTCTGTGCATCACTGTAACATTAAGATATCAATTAAGCTAGTCATTTAACTAACTAAAAATCGCGGGTTACTCACGTGTAAATATTGAGAAAAGCTCTGCTAGTTTCACAGAGGAGTTCTTCCTCATGAGCAGCGTGCGCGGACGCGGCGACGTCGCGCAGCCTACTCAATATTTACACGTGAGTAACCCGCGATTTTTAGTTAATTTAGTATGTCTCACGATAGTTATTATAAAAACAAGTTAGTCATTTGTTTAGTATCGCGCCAAAGACATAATATAGTTAAATATAGTAGTAATATAGTCACTTCATAACAGAAGACCTAAATGAAATGAATGATGAAGTGACTTAGGCTATTTATGACCCGTGACAAGTTAAAGCTTCCGCTCTTTATGCATCATGGCTTTGATACTTGGAAATTACTGATGTGTCTTTTTCTAATTTATATGTCTAAGTGTGAAAGACACCACTGACAAACGATGAAGAGAAAACATCTTGAGGAAACCTGCTCTTATCATTTCTAATTATAAGATTGAAATCACTAACCCGCTTTAGCAAGAGCGGCATTTTATGCTCAAATCTTCTCAGCATGAGAAGAGGCCTTTCCTCATCAGTAGGCACCTATAATAGACTGATGATGTTGACGATGATAATGGACAACGCCCTTGCAACTTTTTTAGGATTTTAGGTGTCCATGAGCAAAGCTAATTGCTTGCCATTAGGTAATCCGTGTGCTTATTATCTGTCTTATCCTTTAAAGTTAAATTAATTACTTTACTTCTTAACTGTGGGAGAGCCATGCTTCGGCACGAATGGGTCGGCTCGACCGGAGTGATACCATGGCCTCACAGAAAACCGGCGTGAAAAAACCACAGCGTTGTGTTTCGCCGTTTGAGTGAGGTTACCGGAGGCCCAATCCTTCCCTTCCCCCAATCCCTCCTCAATCCCTAAATCTCCTAATCCCTAATCCCTAAAAGGTCGGCAACGCACTCGTAACTCCACCGTTGCGGGTGTCCATGGGTGGCGCTGATTGCTTACCATCAGGTAATCCGTTCTATTATATCGTTGCTCGTTTGCCGACCTATTACAAAAAAATTACATATATAATATTCGTTAATTGTATAATTAATACAATTATATTATTATACATTTTACTTACATCTCCTAGGAGCATCTTCAAATCTGAAGGTTACATGCAGTCTTGCACCATCTGTTATTTCAATCGGTATGTTCAGCTTTCCTATGCTGTACCTATGGAACAGGCCTCGGTCCACCCTGGACTGGTTCAGGTAGATGCCAGTGGCTCTGGTCTCCAGCTGTATCACCGAGCAGTTGTTCTGCTGCTGACGATCGCTTGAGTAGTGGTAAGCTTGAAACCATTTGTTGAAGAACTTTTGGGAGAGAAACAGAACAGAACAAGTTTACAAATAGAAGAAATATGCCTGATAACATTTGATAGAAATATTTTCATCAGAGTATATTATTATGATAGGACGGCAATTGAGCAGACGAAGTACCTCATGGTAAGCAATCGACGCCGCTCATGGTCACTCGTTACAGCAGAGGAGTTATTAATGAATCGCCAGGTAACATTGGCGAGTATAGTCCAAACTAGTCTAATAAATGCGAAAGTAACTCTGTCTGTCTGTCTGTCCTTTCTTTACGCTTAACTACTGAACCGAATACTGTGAAATTTGGTACGGACATAGTTTGGAACTCGAGTGAGGACTAGCACTCGACACACTCACACTACGATAGTTTTTAAACCAAAAATCTGCAGGAAGTAACTATTCCATGCAAACGGAGTCGCGGGCAAAAGCTAGTACCTTACAAACCAATTATCTTATACAGGTGGGTTGTTAAGAGTTCGTAACCTAGCAAATACAAATGTGATTTTTCAGAGATATACATGACACGTAAAGGAATCTGGACCCATCCCAAATTGTAATGTGATTTTTTAGAGTTATAGGTACATAACATCGAGATTTTTGGTTTAAAAACTATCCTATGTCCTTTCGCGAGTTTCAAACAACGTCTGTACCAAATATCACCCACACAAATAATATATGTTGGTTCAATAGTTTAGGCGTGAAGAAAAGACAAACAGCCAGAGTTATATTCACATTTATTATATTAGTATGGATTTTATTAAATGTATGAATAAATGACATGCTTATTACTCTATTTTCACATTTCAAAAGTATCTGTTTATTATTTAGTTGGAATAGGTAAATGATTTTGATTTTGACTTTCACTTTTATTAACTGTTTTTTTTTATATAATTATAACTTACGTCAGCCAATCTAAATTCTTCTTGCAATTGAACATTTTCAGGGCATTTTCCTGGCAACGTAAAATAACCGTAAGCACTATATACACTTAGAAATATAGAAAGTATAATTATTTTAAACATTTTAACAGAACTGACGAACGATCTTTATGAAGAAATAATCTGTTGTGATTTTCTTATAAATAATGTTTTTGTTTTAAATAAACAAAATGGGAGGTTATCATTGTTTATAGGTTAAATTGTTTGCGTGATAATTTCTCGGAATTATTAAGAGACTGTTCTTAGATTGATACGGTACTTCGTTCTTTGTACTCATTATGTTGATAGGTATATTTAAAAAAAACAAATTATTTACCTATTTATTGTTCCAAAAACGTAATATCATTGTGCTTTCGAAACATGGGAACAATTCAGGGATTGTGTTATAGCTTAGAATTAATACTAAACAAACTCAATAACACTTTCGCCGACTCAGTACAATCTATATCGCTTTTACCTTCTTGCTCGGAATATTATATTTTAACTATATGTACACTTCGTTAATATTATATAAAAACAAGTACAAGTAGTGGCCGATAAATATACATTACGTACTTTTCTTTCTTAATTTGACCCGTTTGAAAGTCAAAGTCAAAGTCATTTACTCCAACTAAACCATAAATAATATTTGAAACGTCATAATGGAAAAGTAGTTTGTCATTATTTTCGTCAGTGAAGCTAGGTACTCGTTTCAAATGGATTGAATTGTAAAGAACGAGTAAGAAACTCTATAAGTTACTCTTTAAAAAAAAATTGTTTTACTATTTCATCGTTTAGTAAACATTATTGTACTCTTGTGCGAGAACAATGCAGAGACAAGTTGTTAAAAAAAAGAACAAATGATGGGACCTATCATATAATTTTAAATCTTTAAACGTCTCCAATGTTTATATGCTGAGGAAAAAAATAAGCGAATGTAGATGAAATTTGCATTGAAATATTTCCCGACGATATTAATTCTAGATATGAACAGAATTCTATAAATTGTTTTGTTTATTCTCCATTACATCTTGTTTTACGAAACGATAATATTTGTATTCAAAATAAAATACTTTTTAAATACTACGAAGTGATTATAATGTGACAACTTTTATTGTAAAAGAATAGGAGAGAAGTCATCATCATCATCATCAACATCAGCCTATAAATGCCCACTGCTGAGCAAAGGCTTCTTCTCACACAGAGAAGGTTTGAGCATTAATCACCACGCTTGTTCAATGCGGGTTGGCGATTTCAAACTTATAATTAGAAATTATTAGTCCAGGGTCCTCACAATGTTTACCTTCACTGTCAGTGGCGTCTAAATAATCATAGAAAGTACATATAACTCGGAAAAAGTGACATTGGTACTTGCCAGGTTTCGAACCCACACCCTCATGCATAAGAAGCGGGCTCCTTAACTTCCGGGCCACCACGATCTCGAGGAGAGAAGTAGTGGAGACTTATGCTTTAGAACCGGCGTGAAATAACGATTGCTCTGTTTCTTGCTGTCTGAGTGAGGTTACTGGAAACCACTGGAAACTCAAAAACCTTTCCTCCAAAAAGCTGGCAACGTACTTGCTACACCGCTAGTGTTTTGGGTGTCCATGGGCGGTGCTAAATTTTAATCCTATAAAAAGTTTAAGGTTTTTTAACGGTCATGTTTTAGGTATCTACAAACTGTTGTTTGTTGATGCACAACATATTGTAACTGTGAAATCAAAGTTCGTAGGGGTTTTTTTTATGTAAAATACATAACTGTAATCCATAGTTTTGCCATCATTTGCATGTGTTGTTATCGATAGTTAACACAATCATAATTCCCTGTTGCACATAAATTTAGGGGATACTTTTTCTTTCTTTCTTTTACTTCGACTTTTATTACAGTATGATTACCACGTAAGAAAAAAACTTGACACACATTGTGAGTATAAACTGCAAACCTAGTATAACATTACAGACTCACAGTAATTGGGGTAAACGAGCGAACAATTCCCACATCCTTTCATCCAACAACGCAAAAAGTTGCGTAAACATAACGAAACAGTAAATCAGACGGGAGGATGTCCACGTTACGTCTCAAAACGTGGTCAATTTACGTCTATTTCTGTATAAAACCGTCTGGGGTCGGCACATTGAATAATTACAGTGTAGGACGGGACTGCTCATTCGCTATCTCATTCTCGGACGCTCCACTTGTCTTAAAATGTTACTTGTACTATTCTCCCTATTTGTAGGAGTTTTTGCCGCGGAATATACTCTACCGGGAGAATGTCCCGATGTCAAGCTGCAAGAGAATTTGGATCCTACTAAGGTGAGTGCTGTTTGTTTTAGGGTTTAAATTAGTTTGAATTATTTTTAAAGTAGTTACGTAGTTTTGATTGGTCGTTTATATATTTTGTCTGTGTTGTATCTATATTAAGATGATATAAGTATAGGTACATACCTATCTTTATATCTGTTGTTGGATTACAACGGGGATCGAAGCACTTCTTTATGTATTGTTATATTCTTAATGAATTCACAAGCATCAACACCATATACATACATATATTACTTATATGGAAAAAAACCGTAATCAAAAAATGTAAAATTTAAGTTTATTATACAACGTTGTTACGGTACCTAATATCTTTTATCTACACAAATATTATAAAGAAGAAATATTTGACTGTTTGTTTGATTGATTCAAGTAATTTCCGAAACTACCAGACCAATTTGAAAAATTCTTTCATTTTTGGGAAGCTACCTTATCCTGGGGAAGCATCGACTATAAACTATGGAAGTGAAACTGTGGAACGAAGCTAGTTACTAATGTTATAAAACAAAGTTAATTTCTCTGTCCCTATGTGCCTATGTATGCTTAAATCTTGAAAACTACGCAACAGATTTTGATGCAGTTTTTTTTTCAATAAATAGACAGAGTTAATTGAAGAAGAAGGTTCATATGTATAAAAATATCCATCCTAAATATCTATAAAATTGTGGAGAAATATAGTATCAGCATTACAGCCGTGCGAAGTCGGGGCATGTCGCTACTATAATACAAAAAGGCGGTTACCTTTCAAAGCCAGCCTAGCCTAGTTAGTCCCGTCAAGGTTAGAAATAAATTAGATCAATCAAATAATTTATTCTTAGCAATAATTATGTTTTATCGGTCGGCATATTTTTCTGAAGTAAATTGATTATCGTGGAATCTTTATCTGATAAAGATCTCCTATGGAATTTTAGTGGTTCAGCTATCGATAGAGATCAGCTGATAACTTTTTGTAAACATCAAAGGTTGATATAGTTTTGATTAAATACTCTTTTCTAAAATGAACGTAAGAAAATTATTTAGACAATTAAAGCAATACACATTTATTTCTGTTTTCTTTTTTGTTTTTTGTGGGAATTTTAGAATTTGAAAAAGATATTCTATCCTGTCTGTATTATGATTTCGTGGCTTCTTATTTAACAATAGTTCAGCTCAATTGCGTAACGGGCAAATTAATAAAGTCTATCTTTTAGTACTTAGTATGGTTAAAGTATAGAAGTAACCTCTTCCTCATAATTTTCTGAGGTTGCGGGGTAAGCGCAATGTTGAACCGCGACCTCGACCCAGAGCTGGAGAAGGAACGGGGGGTTATTTAGTCAGTAACAGTTTTACACTCCCTCCCGCCCTATCCTGGGTGGGAGAAGTCATTTGATGATTTCCCCTCACAAAAAATAAAATACCCATAATTCTCAGTATCTTTGAATAAAAAAAAAACAAAGTATAAGCGCACCATTGCGACATTAAACATTTTTTTACTCTCTTTATCTTACTGATTAACTAACTAACCCTAACGTAAAGAATAGAGTTCTATACGGTAACAAATACTTATTAAAAACAACCAAATATTACTATCAAAAAAGGATTACATACAAATTTTTTGGAGGGGTACAACATTAAATGACTTTACTCGCCCAGGCGGGACGAGTGGGAGTGTCAAACTCTTACTGGCTAAAAACTTTTCTTCTCCTGCTCCAAGTCAAGGCCGCGGTACTGTTGCGCTCTCCCGCTCCACAAAAACGACATACGATTATTTTTTCTTCGAAGTCAGTTTTTTCTAATCAAAGAAGCCGCAATTGTTTTTCCATAGTCCTTAATAATTACTAATATTTTGTATTTCTTCAGTTTTCAGGCCTCTGGTACAATGTAGCAAGCTACGCCAGCGATGGTCGCGAAATATACGACTGTTCAACAATGGACTTCCAGGAAGACAACTTGGGATACATGTACAAAGAAACATATGTTCAAATGGACCAGGGCAACAGGACTCAAAAGGTGTACCAAGCCAGAGTGGACCCCACTTTCGATGCTGGGAACAGAGCCCTGTTTATAATGAGTCATGAAGCTGGAGGTAAGTACGAAAGAAGCTATTATATAAACCGTTATGTAGGTTAAGAAACGAAGAAAAAAATCAAACAAGTACACGCAACGCCCTGTGCAGGAACTATTTAATTTACAGGAAATACCTGAGAGCTATTTATTATTAACACTAGCTTTTATTTTATACTTACTACACTTGATACTTTGGCAGCATAATAAAAACATGATTATTAAAAAAATATCATCATCATCAGCCTATAAGTGCCCGCTGCTGAGCAAAGGCCTCTTCTCATACGAAGAAGGTTAAAGCATTGATCACCACGCTTGCTCAATGCAGGTTGGCGATTTCAAACTTATAATTAGAAATTATAAGTCCAGTTTTTCTCACGATTTTACCTTCACCGTATGTCAATGGTGTCTAAATAATCATAGAAAGTACATATAACTCGGAAAAACTCACATTGGTACTTGCCAGGTTTCGAACCCACGTCCTCATGCATGAAAAGCGGGCTCTTTAACCTCCGGGCCACCAAAAATTATAAAGAAAATATAATATAATACAGAAGTGATTGCAGTTTGTTTAAATTTTAGTTCCAAAGAGATATTGTTTTTTTAATAGTGTCAAAGGCTTTTCATTTTAATATCCATTTGAATAAAGATCTTTTTTACCTAATAATGGCCGAGTGAGCTACTTATAAAAATTAATGGATTTTATTTAATAAACTTCAGTAAATAACTTGTTATTTTTATTTTCAGACAAAGTGCTACAGTTCCCATTCTTCATTTTATCGACAGACTACGATGGCTATGCTATTGCCTATACGTGCAAATGGTTGAAGGAGAAAATTCGTAAACATTACGGTATGCTCAATTTTATTTCTGATACATAATAAAGTATTGCTATAAGCCATTTAATTGTGTTGCTTCGGTCGTAGGGAAAGATAAGATTTCGAAAATGTTTAAACGGATTTTCAAGTATTTTTTTTACCCTTTTTATGTCCTATGTCGGTAAACGAGCAGACAGATTACCTGATGGTAAGCAATCAACGCCGCTTATGGACACTCTTTATATCAAAACCGTTACTACAAGTAAATTGCCGGCCTTTCATGGATTATCAAGGATTTAATGATTAAGGATAGGAGGGAAGGATTGAATCTTTAGATACCTCACTCACACTGCAAAACTCCACTCAAGTTTTTGCTTCTCGACGGTTTTCTCAAAAAACCTGTGATAATAATCTTACATGATGATGATTTTAAAAGGAAATATTTTAGAAAATTTTCTATACTTAGATAGTATTGACTTAAAAATCCGGTATATTATGTAAAGGAATTTTGGTTACTTAAAAAAGTCCAAAAAAATTACAATTGACTTTTGACTTTAATCTATATATTTCCTGGTTATTCTTTGTAGAAATCATTTTGCTTCAGTAGGTTATTTTTATATGCATTTTAATGAATTTAGATAATGCTAGTATCTTGAATGAAGCGAATCTATATAATTATCTTGGTAAAAATCATCATCAGATTTTTTTTTTACTTCTGGCTAGCTAACAACTGTCATTAATGTTCCACATGAAAGTAAACACAAGGACTATGTAAGGTCTTAAGCACTTATTAAAATGTATTATATTATTGTATCTAAACTATATGACAATTATAAAAGAAAGATTTTGATAGAATTCAAATTAATGTAAGCAGAATACACGTAATGTATTTATTACATTTATTTCAGTTTACACATGGGTACTGACACGTGGCAAGGAAAAACTCCAAGGAGAACTACTAAAAAAGGTTGAAGATTCGCTATCCAAATACCCAGAGCTGGCTGAACATAGGACTTCGTTTGTTTTCAAAGATTTCTCCGAAGCAAGCTGTGCTTATACGAATAAACTAGAAACTGACTTCTTCACAAGTAACTTTTGGTGAAGCCTGCAAATATCTTGTATTAGACTGTGAATAAAGGTTAAATTTTAAGTCAAGGGTTGTTTTAGTGTACATTAGGTCTTTATTTTTTATATAGTAACTACTTAGAGACATTTTTATACAAACAACGGCAAATGAGTTGGATTACCTGATGGTAAATTGGTAAGTAATCGGCGCCGGCCATTGACACCAGAAGAATTGCAAATACGGATTTGGAATGGGAATTGGGATTAGGGGTTTTGAGAATTGAGGGATGGGATTGAGGAGAATTGAGAGGGAAGGATTGGGTCCTCACCTGGGTTGGTAACCTCACTCACACAGAGAAACAAGATACTGTAGTTGTTTTACGTCGGTTTTCTGTGAGGCCTTGGTATCACTCCGGTTGAGCCGGCCCGATCGTGCCGAAACATGTTTCAAATATTAAATTTATTGAAAATATTGACACAGTGAGCTGTGTAACGTCACCGCATCGTGCAAGCAGTTCATGAATTCATATGCAACTGAAGGAAAGAATATGACTGATAACTAGTAGAATTTTTTTCAGTTAATTCACGCAATTCGTTATTTTGAGCAGAATTTAGTTATGTCATAAGTAAACCTATTCTTACAACTAACACACAATACAGAAATAAGCTAGAATTATAAGCCCAGGTTTCATCACGATGTTTTCCTTTGCCGTATATTAGTGGTGTCTTAATAATCAGGAAAGTCCATTTAAGTCGGAAAACGTCACATTGGTAGTTGATGCCAGATTTCGTACACGCCTCGTCATATAAGAAGCAAACGCCTTAACCTCCAGGCCACCACGAATCGTCAGAGACAATATCATTATAATTATAATATAAAAAATATGCCTAATAAAAGATAAAAATATCTTGCTCCATATCGATAAGTACTTAATACTACTTCATCATCAGCCTATAAGTGCCCACTGCTGAACAAAGGCCTGTTCTCGTACGGAGAAGGTTAGAGCATTAATCACCAAGCTTGCTCAATGCGGGTTGGCGATTTCAAACTTATAATTAGAAATTATAAGTCCAGGTTTCCTTACGATGTTTACATTCACCGTATGTCAGTGGTGTCTTAATGATCATAGAAAGTACATGTAACTCTGAAAAACTCACATTGTTACTTGTCAGGTTTCGAACCCACACCCTCATGCATGAAAAGTGGGCTCCTTAACCTCCGGGCCACCACGACTTAATACTACTTGATCCTACTAATTGAATTCAAAAGCCTAGATTTTTTTATTAGAGCCGGATATGGTGAATGCAAAAACAAATTTTAATCTTCATTTTGTTCGTATATTTTGATTAAACTGTATCCGATTTCCGCTTAAAAAGATTACACAAACTGAACGACAAATTGTAATCACACAAACAAATTGTGTGGTTTTTTTAAATTCAGTAAAGTTATTCTAATAATTTTGGATTTCTTTTTAAAAACGTTTTTTCCGCTTGGATTTTCTCCTGTATCGTGGTTGTATAAACATCAAGCCACCCAGACCGAAACAACAATTTGTGGATAACACAAAAAGTTGTTCCGTGCGGAAATCGAAGCCACGACACGTTGCACGGCACCCAGTTGTCCAGCCACCGCACCAATCGCGCAATTAATAAAAATATTTGCTGTGTGTATTTTAGTATATAGTTACCAATTGAATACCAAAAGTCTAGCAACGCAAAGCAACTCCTGTAATATTGTAACTCTTTTAGTTCCTTAGATGCGCCTTGTTACAACTTTAGAGGATGTAATGGTGCCAATCAAAGTAAAAAACTCCGAAAATTAGCGAAATCAGGTTTAATAAAAAATTAGATGTTACTCGTACAATGGTAGTCAGGCAAGTGAACGATGACATTGAATGTTCTTGATGAATGGAGAAACGCCTATACAAATTTTAATAATGAAGTGTTTCACAACTTATTGCTACGTATTTCGAACAGGCGTTTACGCCTGAACATATTCCCGGCCGTTGAAAGGTAGCTTTCAACCCTTCAAGTCTTCAGCTGTAGGAAGTTTACAGAGTCGCACCAAGGCACGTCGCACGCAGCCCTTGGTGGTGAGGATGTCTGCCACTCTGGATATCCCGTCAGGTCCGGGTATGAGGCGAAGTACGCGGCCCAGTTTCCAAGCGAGAGGGGGCGCGTTGTCATCAGCAAGCAGCACCATATCTCCTACGTCCAGCTTTGAAGTGTTTGTCCGCCATTTTGTCCTTTGCTGTAACTCAGAGAGGTACTCCTTCTGCCACCTTTTCCAGAAATGTTGCCTCAGCTTCTCAAGGCGCTCATAGCGTCGCAATTGGCTTTCCTTCACGTCTTCCAGGTTTGGTGTTGGCAGAGCGATCAGCGGTCGGCCAATGATGAAATGTCCTGGGGAAAGGGGAAGGAGGTCGTTAGGACTGGATGAGAGAGGGCACAAGGGACGGCTATTGAGGATTGCCTCCACCTGTGCGAATAAAGTAGAAAGTTCCTCGAACGTCACGTGACTGTCGCCTAAAACCCGTCGTAATAAATGTTTTGCCGACTTAACCCCAGCCTCCCATATGCCACCAAAATGAGGAGTGTAAGCCGGAATGAATTTAAAATTTATAGATTGTTGACTTGCAAAGTCAACCAAAGGTTCATGGTTCCGTTTGATGAACGAGCCTATTTCTTTGGCGGCAGCTACAAAATTAGTACCATTGTCACTAAATATTTCAGTTGGCTTGCCACGACGAGATATAAATCGTTTTAATGACATTATAAATGCATCCTTTGTTAAGTCACTGACTGCTTCAAGGTGTATGCATTTATAACGGAGGCAAATAAAAAGACACAAGTAACATTTTACAATGCGACCGCCGCGTCCCTTACGGTTTACTATGTAAAATGGGCCAGCAAAGTCAAGGCCAACGGATAAAAATGGATAGTCTGGCGTTATTCGTTGAGACGGTAAATTACCCATTTTAGGTTGTAAAGTTGTACCTTTTAAACGTCTGCAGCGTACGCAGTTATTAACTGTGCGCCTCGCAAGTATCCTACCGTTAATTGGCCATATCGTTTCTCTGACAGTAGCCAATAACATTTGAGGGCCGGCATGCATAGTGTTAATATGTTGTCTAATAAAATAAAGTTTTGTTAAAGTATGCGTTGCATGAAGTAATATTGGATGTTTCTTTTCAAATGCATAACTCGACGCATCGATTCGTCCACCGACACGAATTACCTTATATTCATCAAAAAAAGGCGATAATGCTAGCAGCTTGCTATTTTTATTTAATTGTTTACCATTTACCAATAGATCGTATTCAATAGAAAAGGATTGACCTTGGGAGATAATGCAAAGCGAGCGGAATGACTCACGCAACTCATTAGCGGACAATGTTCCTACTCGTTTGTTATGTTTATTTTTTAAATTGAATATGAATCTAAGAACGTAAGCAAATGACCGTTCTAATTTAGATAACGATGAATACTTTTCAAAGTCGATAATTGGTGACTTTATCACTATCGAATGCGCCTTTAATTCGGGTAATATTTCTAAATCTTTTAGGTTGGATTCAGGCCATTCGGTTTCGTTAAGAGTTAAAAAACAAGGTCCTGTCCACCAGAGTGATGTTGACGCTAGTCGTCTGGCATGCACTCCCCTTGATAATAAATCAGCAGGATTTAAATCTGTAGGTACATATCGCCACGCCGAAGATGATGTTAATTCTTTAATTTCCGTGATACGATTAGCTACAAATATTTTTAATTTACTGACGTTACTACGTATCCAGCACAACACTACGTTTGAATCACACCAATGTATTAGTTTGTCTGGCTTGTACCTTATTGAATCTACCACTGATTTTACGAGTTGAGAAGCGAGTACGGCGGCGCACAATTCCAAACGTGGTATGGTAGTGCTTTTTAGTGGAGCTACTTTAGACTTTGCGCACAACAGTCTAACCGTGACGTCACCGTTTGCACTGATCGTTCTCATATAAATACACGCGCCATACGCATAACTTGATGCATCACTAAACGAGTGCAATTCGATGACTTTTGGTGAGTCACCTAGAACTAACCTCGGTATGCGTAGATCCTGCAAGTATTTTATGCTCTCAGAGAAATCGATCCATTCTTCCTTTATCTCTTGAGGGACAGGCTCGTCCCAGTCAAGTTTAAGTTGCCAAAGCTTTTGTAACATTATCTTTGGCCTTATTACTATGGGACCTAATATACCTAACGGGTCAAATATTTTGAACGCGTTTGACATAATAAATCGCTTTGATATAATATGATTAGCGTCGTGGGAAAATCCCTTTATAGGAAAGCTCAAAGTGTCACTGGCAGGGGTCCAGCCCAGGCCTAGGGTGCTTGACGATTCACTAAAAATGAGCTTGTCCTGTTCATTGATAGCGACATTATAGAATATGGACGGATGATTTGTTTTATATTTTCTTAAATTAAAACACCCTGACTTTAATGCCTCAGATAAAGCGTTTTGAATATATTTTAATTGCTGTGGATCATTTGTTCCAGTAATTAAATCGTCGACATAAAAGTCGTGTTGGATGATGGTGCGAATTAGTTCATCATCCTGTTCTTGACCTACTTGCCACAAGCAACGTGTGCTAAGGTAGCTTGCACTCGCGGTACCGTAAGTAACAGTGTTAAGTTGAAGTGTTTGTATCGGTTTGGACTCCTCGTCTCGCCACAGAATGAGCTGCAAATGCCTATCATCTTTGTGTACGAGCACATTTCGATAGAATTTTTCTATATCGCCCGTAAGTAGGTATTTGTATTGCCTGGAGCGTAACAAGATAGAAAAAAGAGTATCTTGTACTGTGGGGCCAACCAGTAATAAGTCATTAAGGGAACAGCCAGAGGAAGATTGAACAGACCCATCAAACACTACACGAAGCTTTGTGGATTCACTCTCCTGCTTTAAAACTGCGTGATGGCATAAATAATAATTAGGAATTAATATTTCATTATTTATCAAAGATAGATGACCTAGGTCCGCGTATTCCTTAATGAATTTACTATATTCTATTTTTAACATATTATTACGTTT